CATCATAGGACTCCACATGAAATCCCGGAAGAGTATTGCTGGAGAAATTATCCCATCAGTTCCAGACACCATGATTGTGATAGCTGAAGGCCATGCTTTCCGAAGAAGGCTGTCTCGGCCTTGAAAAGGAAGGGTTTGAGTGGGTAGGCCCAAACCTAATCTACTCTAACCTCACATGCAAATACCCAGAAGAAGTTTGGAAAAAATGCAGCCCAGACTCTGACAAACACACCTGTGCATGGTATGAAACCCTACACACAACGGCCATCAGAGAAGTAAAAACCCTGGCAAAAGGGGCCATTGAAATCATCGCTGAAGGAGCAGGGGCAGCTGAGGACGGTATTTTAAAGCTGTTGGAAAAAATCTGGCCATACTGCCTGACGATCCTTGGCATCCTCATTGCAGCTGTCCTAGCACGCTTGGCTCTGAAAGAATTGTGTAATAGAGCCCTGCCCACAAGGAGGGGTGATTACAAGCCCCTTCCCCCAGACAGAAAGTAACTGATCCCCTGTAAAACTGAGAGCACATAACCTCAGTATGCAGTACCGCTATTGCTTCCTTTAACGCTGTACTAAGCAATGACGCTGCTTATGCTATGAAGATTCACATTAAAGTTGAAGACTGGTGGTATGGATCTATAAATGTGACTGTGGAAGTGGATCCTACCAGCCCAGAAGACGTGCTGATGGCTGAGTATCATAATCTCCAAAGATATCGTTATTGCATTTACCCCCCGGTGGACTCAAGAGAAGAGTTTTTGAATTTACTCTGTGAAGCATTGAACTGCTGGGCCAATGTGGATTGGTATCGCCAGCATGAGTTTCTAGGCGAACACTTCCAGAATTAAGGGTAATCGACCTCCATTCCTGAAAATGAAGATTATTGTGAAAAAGAGAGGCTGGGGGCATGAAACGCCGAAGATCACTGTAGAAATAGACCCAACCTGTCCTGAAGAGATTTTGATTTTGGATTGTCATGTTGGTCAGCGCTATATTGCCAGAAGATGGAGATGGCAGTTGGAACGGTACAAATAATCGCCTCAAGCCAACGGTTGTTCCACTATGAAGTAAAGGGCTACCATTTTCAGAACTGACTGCAGAACGGGGGGGGGGGGCTTACAAGCCCCACCCCTCAGAGGAGGGCGCTGGTTCCCTATAAAATGGGCTGCGCTGAGACAAATGAGGAACAACCCCGCTGGACTCTGACGAAGACACAAGACGAGGAACAACTGCAGCATACCATGACCACCACCCAACTAACCGCCACATCTGACGTTAAGTCCCACTCTCAACTCATCCATGCAGCTTACCGGCTCCCCGAGACCCCAGGATCCTCCCATGGCTGTATCTCAGGTTGAATATTATGCGATAATGTTTGCTTGGTTCTGTTACTGCATGACGGGGAAATGGACTCCCAAGCAGCCGATGAGAATCCTCATTTTAGCCATGGCGCTGGGCCAAGTAGCAGTGGGCCGTCTACTAGGAAGACAAGAAGTCGCTCTCTCCCTGTTTGTCTCCTACATCCTAGGGAGAGTGAAGCCATTTCAGCCCCGAGCGTCAGCCCTGCTTTCATTATGGGTGATTCTTGAATATATCGTGATGGGGGTTGAGTGGCTCAGAAGAACCCCTTTCTCCAGACTAGCCCCTGAACACATCATTCTGGCTGTCTGAGAAGGTATGCTGGCCATGAGTGTCATCTTCTTCATTGGTCGAGAAACCTGCCGCATAAAATGTGGAAAGATGGCCTGGTTCTTTCGTTTCCTCTGCCTGACCCTGTGGGGCCTAGCCTGGGGTGTATATTCAGCCCTATATTGGATGGGGCTAATCAGCAAGATGTCAATCCTGGTCTTCTTCATGATCTATGCTGCCATCCTCCCTGTGGCCGCCTCAGCTTAGAAAACATCACYTGAACCACCTCCTCTTCCTCCAAGAGACACTCCGATCACCACTCAGCCTAGTAGTGCTCGGCCCCTCCAGCGCTGGATTAGCCCTCCTAACCTACCCCACTTCGAGGCAACTCTCTTCCAATATCACCCACAGTCTCAAGTCTCATAACATTTTTGCTTTTGCTGCTTCAAAGCCACATTTTTATGATTTTTATTTTTGTGTTTAAACTACAACTTATTTTTGCATCTGGCTCTCTAGGTTGTAAAATGTGCCTATGTTCACTCCTAACCTCCTTCACCCCTGTATATTCTGGCAGGTACCCCAGTGTCGTGACTGTGGCAAGGGCTTCAAGGATTTCCCATTCCTTTGGGAATACCTCGGGGTTGCATGGTGCAATCCATGCTACACTGAATACTTCAGAATCCCGGTGGCTACGGCCATCAAGCTGAAAGATGGGATCCAAAGCTGCCCCCGAGCCGACTTCTCCCAGTGCTTCCTACTGCAGAAGGACGGAGAATTGCTCCATTGTTCGCTGCAAGACCCAAGAAGCCCTGCAGACCTAGTCATACCTGCTAATGTTGAAAAGGCGTGCACTATCCCTCTCATTCAGAGGATCTGGAAATCCAAATCCACTGACCGCAGGTATGTCAGCCTCCATGCTCCTGATTATGCCTTAGTGGATCTCCACATCGCGCCGCCTTCTGAGGTGGTCCACACCGTGCGGCCGGCTGTGGCTGTTCAGCCACACCAGCACATCATGTCAAGCCCCTCACCCAACTCCAGGTCTGGTCCTGCTCCTCAGGACATGTCATCGATGTAGGGCTGCAACGATTAATCGATTAATCGTTTTTTTTTTTTTTTTTYTTTKTTTTTCTCTCCAAACTGCTTTGACACCTTCCACTGCCACATCTGCCTTTCTGTCCTTGACACACATGCACAGTAGTAGTAACTGGGGTAGGCCGTGGACTAGGGTTGGGCATAATCATATCATGTGCGATCAATCGTCAGAAAAACGTTAATCAAATTTTTTTGGCACTTGACGATTAATACAATTAATGTCAGTCAGTCYGCTCGGTGCTCCTCTCTTTCAAATATGACAAAAAAAAGATCTTGAGCTGGCAGACACGGTCCCCCAGCCGTCTGGTACTACGAGTACCCACCATCATCGGCGTGTGGACGAAGGTCGCCCCCATTCCTCCCTAGAGGCGCGCCTGGGCCCGCCAGTTGCAGAGGATGACTTCGACAGGCACTCCCTGCCTACCCCCTCCACCTCTTACCAATCCTATGTCCCAGCCAAGATCCAACCCTTAATGCCCCCTGCCCATCGCTCACAGGGTCCTCGGCCTGATTCCAAGGAGAGGGTGTCAAGAAACCCAGCTGTACCAGCAGCTGAAGGAACTGGAAACAGACCTTCTGACCCCAATCTTGACCCCCAGCAAGGGAGAGAGAGATCGGCGAAGAAGTCACAAACAGAGCCAAGAAGGAGGAACATCAGCCCAAAAAGATGAAAAAAAGAAAAGAAAGAAGAGAAAGAGAGTGAACAACATAATTTTAATGCTGGCAAATGGTAATCAAATGTAATGATTTAAGTGCTTATTGCAATGTGTGGTTTGAATAATGAAATATGGTTCAAAATTGAGTGTTAAGGTGTGTTTTAATGTAAGATGGTGGATTATTGAAATGTATTTTTATATGCTTAAAGTTTAGAAAGATAGTAGAATGTGTGTGTGCACAACATAAGACGGTTAAAACAACATGTTCCATTCGAGCAGCAACAGGAATAGCAGGTGCAATGGTTCTGATAGGAAAGAGGAAGTGGGTTACTGGCTGTGGAGAGGAAGCCGACCAAATAAGGGCATGAGGGGATGCTTTGCTGAGACTTGCTGAGACTGAGGCAGCTCATGAAGAGGAACTTTAAAGGGCCTACATGACAGTGGAAAGTTCCAGTGGCAGTTGTACTGTATGTTGGGCCAACTGGCCAATCACAGACTGACATGAGGGCACAGATGGAACGAAGAAGAAGAAGTGATAGCGCCCAAAACTGTATAAAAGAAGGAGTTTTGAGCTGTTCTGGGTCCACTTGGGCCAGCCTGGAGAACAAGCAGCAGGGCAAGGAGCAACCAAAGGAGAGGAATCAAGATCCAGAGCATCTCAGGCTGGGGAAAGCTGCCACTCTGCACCTCCAGGAACTCACAGCCCAGAGACCCGATTCATTGACCCTGCTTTGAGAAGCCATCTGGCAACAGTCTGCTCCTCACCATGGAGGTAACCATCATACCTCCCACTGCTCATGCCATCTAAATTAACAGGAAATGCCACACAACATAGCTTCAGGGATAGAGTAGAGTTTTAGAGCTTTTATTTTACCACCATCAAATCTAATTGGAATTGTCATTTTTATAATCAAATGTGGCTTTTCCTTGCAATTGCTATTAAACTGCATTACAAGACAGCTAACATGACTGGACATTGATTTTTAAGGTTTTTCTCTGATTATCGAGTGTGTATTTACTTTATAGCAACAAGGTAATAGCAAGAGGTCATAATTTAATAGTTCATTTTTAATGGTTATTAGCCTGGGGAGATAGGATAACTCCCTTTAAGTACCGTTTAGATCTGCTGTACAGGTCACTAAAATCATCATCTCGGTCATTATAAGAAGTGCTGATACACCCCGGGAGGGGCTGCCGTGAACGGTGGTGACCGGCTGCTGGAGGCGTCCTGAGCTACTGCGCTGATCCAGAGGCCGGGGTCAACGAAGGGTGCGACCACTGGATAGAAGGCAGCTAGGGACCGAGCTTAATTCCTCCCAACACCATCTCCTGGAGGAGATTCACCTGATTCAGCCACACAGGCCACCCCCAGTGGCTGTAAGACTGGGTTTTCACCTCCAAACCATGAGGGAGACTTGGCTCCTCTCCAAGACCTATCGGTGTCCTTGTAGGTAAACTGGGGGAGGAGCCACAGGGATTTTCAAGATGTAATATAGCACTCGAAATGTCTCATTAAATGTACAGTGTAAGGRTTTTACAGTAACTCGTATAATTCACAAGATCTAAATTAAATATATGACAAATCCAAAAACATAAACTTTTTTGTTTTTTTCATTTTAAGGGCGACGATGACCTGAAAGACACGGGCTTCCACCTGACAACCAGTAACCAGGGAGCGTCTGCAGTCGGACCGGGATTCAGCCTCAAGTTCTGAGCCTGAAACTGCAGGATGTTTTGCCGTCTACCAGACAGGAATGAAGCAAAGAGTTCTGGGACTTGTTTGAAGCCAGACGTTTTGCAGCTCAAGGCCAAGTCGGCATCTGATTGATCAGCWGTTATCAGACACCTGGGACTAACATTAAGACTCGTGGCTTTTAAACGTGTCGAATTTCAACAGCGTCTCTGTTATTCTCCAGCAAATCCACCATTACAGAAGTGACAGTTTTAGCTCCCCGAGAGGAGGCGACCCTCTTAAAAACGTAGCTTTGTTTGACTTTCTTTCATTGGTATTTCCTGGCTACCCGAGCTACTGTATAATTACTGCAGCCTTTGCTGTATGTTCCATTCAGCGTTGTGTTGAAAATTTACCGGGGAATGTCAGCTGACAGGTTGGCAATGTTTTTGTAAGAAATAAAGTTTGAAAAATTGTTTTGTCTGCACTTTTTCCTGTGTTTATAAACTCTGTCAAAGCTGAGCAAACACATCTGCGCGCTGCCAGAACTAAAGATTAGCCTCGGAGACGTCCAACCCTTTAACCCCCACCCAGCTCGGTGTCCAAAAGTGATGTCACGTCTTGCACCCCGTTCTTCGTCTCAGCGCCGATTCCAAAAAGAAGAGAAGCACCAGCTTTTGCTCAGTCTTGATTTTTTTCCCCCTTTTTATTTGGCTTTACAGCTTTTGGAATTAAAACAATAAATTCTCTGATTGTGAGCCAAAGAAAAATAAACAAAACCAGCATTGGTCTCTGCAAGACGGCATGCTACTTTGGATCAGGCACAGAGAAATCCTTTTTGTGCTTGGGCTTCTGTAGGCAGCACCAAATGGAAATATTCATTAATCAGTTTTATCTGTCCCCTGCCTCCACCAGAGCCCCTTCTGCAGATTATTACACCTGATGTGTTGAATGAGTTTGAAAAGAGAGCTGCGAGTGGAACTGACTGCTCCRTCTCTGGAGGCAGACTGCTGGCCTCCATGTGAGACCAGTAAAGTAAGCTGGACGTCTGAGATGTTCCATGTGCGCTTTCAGGCCCAAGTATCTCCAACAACTGTAAATATTGCTACTTTTGCTTTAGTGACTTAGTATGTAAATTATTCAAAAAACTTGACTGATCAAGAGGTAACTTTTTTTAATGAGAACCGTGTTTGTGATGTGAATGCTTCTGTTGACACCTTTCTGTTATCACCTGCTGCCAAAGGGTGATGTTACCTGTATTTGAGCTTGTGTGTGTGGTTGCGGGTGCGTGTGTGCCTGTGTGCACATGTGGCGTTAGAGTGACACGTCACATCAAAACGAGGATTAAGTCCAAAAGTGGAATGTGGAGAAACAGGCAGACGTGTTCAAAAATTGCATTTTGTCAAAATCTAAGAAATTAGTGCCTTATTAATGTATAATTTGAATGAACTGTTGGAAATATAATCCTAAATTTTTTTAAACATTTTTTTCACCAGTAGCAACAAAAAGCCTGATTTTGAGGAAAAAAACGCCTTAAATATTTGAATTTTTCCCTGTGAGTTAGCAATGTTTTGGTTTCTTTCCAACTGTGAAATCTTACTATACAAATAATATTTGAGGTTTCCTCTTTATATTAACATACAAAATGACTCAATAAATTTACATAAAATTAGGATTCAGACCAAACAGTAATGTATCATTGTAACCAACAAGACAAATTAAGTCATATCTCTGGATAAACTTATGGTATCAGAATGATCCAAGTATCAAAATGTAGCTTTTAAAGCTACAAATATGAAAATGTAATTAGGTCATTTTGACCAAATTTGACTTCATCCTCATTTCGATATGATGGGTCATGCCCCATTCTCTTCAGCCTCAAAGTCTGGGTTGAATAAATCTGAAGATGGTATTGTCCCAAACAGCTGACAAGTTGTCGGTTTTCCAAACTTTTCAGGTTCTGACCCACAAAAATAAAAAAACAGCAGCAGAAATGTTACCCCAACTATGGTTGGTTGAAGTGTGCAAATATAACTAATAAGCTGAAACATAGAGAGTCAATGACAGGAGAAACAGCCTGAACAACGTATAAAAGTATTTATGACATATTTTTATATATCTTACAACTAACTTAGACCATACTGCTGTTAGCAATCATCTTTAAATGAGATTTCAGTTCTGAAATCATCTCAGCACCCCTCACTTGCTGCATGACACCACTGGCTTCTACTGCCAAGTGCCAGATGTTGCACATCACAGCATCTGCCAAAAGCAGCATTTCGCAGACAAGTAGTTTCCACTCTAATGCTAATATTATCAAACGTTTATTATTTATGCATAGAAAATTAACTTAAAACGTCCGTCACAAGCAAAGGATCTTATATGAATAATACAAGGAAGGAGTTTTAAAAACAATTCAAATATGTGCCCTAGTGTCCCGCGTCCTGCTGAGGTCTTCAGAAGCGCACGCGTACCCTCCACGAGTAGTTGGTAAGAATTTTGTCCCTCTTCTTCACGATGCACGTGTACGTGCCTTCGTTGATGGCGTTGGCCACTATCGTGATTTGGTCATCCTTCAAGGTGATGTAGTTTGGGTGCGAGTACTCCAGCAGCTCCCCGTCTTTGTACCAGCTGAAACGGGGGTCAAGACTTCAGTGCCATCGCCTCACCGCCGCCACAATAAAGCCATGAAACTTTGGGGACACTTACAGAACTTTGCCTCGCTTGGACGCAATTTTCTTCCCACAGCGAAAAGTCAGATTCTTGCCTTCGATCACCAGCTTGTGTTTGGTTCTTGAGGGAGTCGGCGTTGGCGCCACCGTTGGGAAAGGGAACTCTGGATTGAAAGAAAAAAAAGGTTTTAGAAGGTGCACCAACAAAATGATATAAACATCTTAACATTACGTGAGCCTTCTTTACCATTTAACGCTGACAGAAGATATGGGATTGTTTGATTTTTACAACCCAAATTTAAATGTAAAATGTCAACAAAAATGGAATGTGATGATTTGCAAATCTCACAAATCAGTTATATTTATAGTGGAACAAATTACATGAAATTATACTTTAAAGGGATCCATGATTAGTTGTAACATTAGACTTTATTTGATAAACATACATTTTAACTGTAAAATAAAGACTGTAAGAATACTGTAGGCTGCTCAGTTTTGTAATTTAAAAAAATATATTTTAACACGGACTGAGCCATTTTATTTACACGCGAAGCATTCTGGGTAAATGATGACGTGGATAGGTCATCAGTGCGAGGC